AGTCACATAAAATCTTTACAGTGGCTAGGTAGTCACCGACCACACTATACGTAATTCCGCACAATGACGCTGCGAGTTATGTGTTATTCTCCTACCTTTTCCCTTTTTTTTAAACATGCCTTATATTGACACCAGTGGATTTAATTATCTGTAGACAAAAACCTTTAAGACAGCTACTAGGTAGCCACAGACCACACTATACGCATTTCAACACAATGATGCTGCAAGTTAATGGGTTATTTTTATTACCGGTATTTACATTTTTTTTTTTACATGCTCATATTGACGCTAGTGAATATTAACGATTGAAGACACATAAAACATAGTCCCATAGACAATGACATCAAATACAAACAATGGCATGGAAACTAGTCAGAAGACAAACAAATTCTGCCATCTTAAAGAACAATACTTCCTCCGAAAGCTGTCAGCGTCGATCAAATAAACATGAAAAAATAACAAATTACTTCAATATTTAAATTTCGTACTTTAGCTTTCGAGTGACAATTTTAATGAGCAAATATCTATTAACACATTCTTTTTTTTTTTTTGCAGAGTCATCATACTATAGACTGGGAATTAATAATTTAAAAATTTTCATGTCTGTACAAATTATATCAGGAAAAAATTGGATTATTTTGAAAAGTGTAAGTTTTATGAAAACTGAAGATTTAATTTATTTATAAGCGAGCTATTCATTAATTAATTATATTATAGACTCTTACTGCAAATCCAAGCGCCGCGGCGCTTATAAACTTTCTATTCTAGAGGCTTCAGTGCGGCAATTGTTCGAGAGCTGCGCTTATTAAAAAAATATTGACGTGGCGCTTTTCATGCCTGTTCCCATGTTACCTATCTCATGTATTTTTCTAGTTTATAGGCCCAACACCATAGTAAATAAATGTATGCTTGTGTCTTCACTGTGTTATTTATTCATTAACACTGTATACATTGTATCCAAAACCCTGTTTCTCAAAGCGTTTAATTATACACAGGGTAATACATTCCCTTAATAGCGGTGCTAATAAAAAAAAAAATCATGTTTGGTGTGGCGCTTATTCAAAAGCGGTTGCTTATTTTAATTGACTTGCCTATTTGAATCTTTTAAATGAACATTTTATTTTACGTAACAACTCACAATTTTTTCTCAGGGCTCCGGACTAGATCCGGGCTTGATGTGAACGTATTTGAAAATTTTTCTGAAAAAAAAATTGCAAACCCTAATCTTTCTACAGTAGTTAAACAGAAAATGACAGGCTACCATGTTTTAACATTAAAAATTATGGTTTTAAATCAATTCATGTTAAAATTATGCAATTACTATAAATAATGTACATGTATGATAATTTAATTCATAAACATTTTTACTGTATGGCAATTATTCCTACAGTACCTTTAATATTAAATTTCAATTACTGTACTGTACATACAGTACCATAGAAGCAATTGATATAAATGAATAACTGATTTGTTTATAAATGCTTTTAAGTGAAAGTTTATTAATTAATGTCATAATTTATAATGTTATTGTTAGTTAGAAGTAGTATGAGAAGAGTACGGTTATATTAACATTATAAATCTCCAAACCAACCCAACATGCAGCACAAAGCAATTATTAGTATCTATAGCAACAATGAAAACTCAGAATCAGAACCAGAAAGAATTGTCATTTATACAATATGACATGGTGAAGTCAGTGAAGGAGGCTTTTGTTTTTTTTAATTTTTGATTTTGCTAAAGCCAAATATCACCCTCAAAGTAGGTTGTTTGCTGGTGCATTGATATTCAAAGTAAAACATGATTGAGATAATACAAACAATAAAAAAGAAAAGGAAAAAAAAATTTCCATTTAAAAAAAAAAATGTTTTTATTATTATTATTTTTTTTTAGCACCATATAAGACATGTGAGCGAGGGTGATTTATTTTGTTTGACCCCAACGACCAACTGTCATCAAATAATGACAATTACAAACATGGCCCTAAACGTAGAAAGGTTTTAATTATTTTTGAAGTACTATTATGTCACATTAAAGCTATTTCATGGTAGTCTAAATTATATATCTAGTGAACTATATACTTATTAATCACTTTAATATATTTTACTTATTTCTGATACATTTTACTGTTGATAAAACTTGACATTTCTTGAATGTTTTAAAAGGTCAAATATCATTCAAAAGAAAAATAATGAATTTTGAACCTTTCAAGACCTCTATATAGAACTGTGCAGTACTACTGTATGTTACAAACATGTTCAATAATAGACATTTTCCTGTATTAGCAGATACTTGGTAGCTATTGACAATGGTTGACAAACATACGCTCAAAATATTTCACTTTTCAGTGGCAACTGTATATTAGGCCTACTATATGCCCTGGACTAGTACTGTATACTGAACATTTAATTTGTGCATCATTATTTATAGTAGGCCTACAGTATATCCAAATCAACAACATCCTTGACGGATATTTTCAAGCGTATTTTTTTAAATTTCTTTTTTCCGCAGTTATTTTCTCTAGCATGTTGAACAAAAAATGGATATAATTCCTACGATCTTATATACTGTATTATTATTCATTATTATACTCTTAAACGCCTAATAAATATAATTTTAACAGTCTTCCAATGCAACTTATCTTTGTTTTTTATTTATTTCATATTACTGTAGGCTTTATATTATTTGGTTAATAAGCCTCAAGAAAACCACACTTCATGTTTGCCTTGATTTGTGGTCATGACAACAATGGTTATCTTACAGTACCTTATCTCATCTTATCTTTAAGCAGCACTATAAGGAGGGGTGGTGGCTTGTTGTATAGTTAGCTGTCTACTGTGGTTTTGAAGAGCAACCTTTCTTGAACTTTATCTTTGATGGTTGTGAATTATTTTGAGATTACATTCCAGTTAGGAATAGTTCTTGGTATACAGTATCACCATGGAGGAAATATTTCCTCCATGGTATCACTTCATTAGCAGTTATTGGTGAAGCGAACCCAAATTCAAACATTTTTACTATGTATCCAGCATTACTAGTCTCCCTATCTTTTGTACTCAGCGTATCTCGAGAACAAACACTGATTTACGTAAAGATTCTGCTGTCTACAAATTATTAAACGCGTTCTTGGCCCCTTGCTATACCAGAAAACATTTGTTATTGCGATACAACGTATTATTCGGCTATAAACAGGTTAAAAAAAAGACAAAATAAATTGACTTTTAAAAAAATTTCCATGGGTCACTGTAAATCCATTATGCACCACCCGCATATGTGCTGATTTTTGTTACTGCACCTCTGTAGGAGACAGGAGTAATCACAGATACGTGGAGAGTACCATGATTCACACGTACTGTAGGCCTACGTACATACAGGGGATATGAAATGAAATACATATTGTCTGACTTGGAATTATCTATAAAGTACTGGCAGGCCACAACAGACACGACCACAAAGATTTCTGAATAAACTTGGCCAGCCCAACCTAGTTTAGTACATAGTAGTAGTGATAGTAAGCTTAAGCCTACATGTAGGCCCTATAGAGCCCTAATTGTTGACGCATTTGCAACTTGTACAAATTAGTTGAATCACAAAACAGCTTTTCTATCGAGGCCAGAGAAATATATATTACAATACTGTGTATGAGTATATATAATCTTAAATACTTTTAACATTTTGAATTTAAATTCCGAAAGTGATTTTGTTAGCCTTTAAATGGATGCGATCTAGAACCACTCATGTCATCGAATAGCGTAGTTAAAGACATGCTCATGCAGTATGCTTTACAGGATAAATAACCGGTAAATAACAGGGGCGGATCCAGATATGTCCAAAAGGGGGGGGGCGAAAGGGGGGGCCGAAATTTGGGCCGATCGAGACAACAATGTCCTAGGGGGTCTCGGGGCATGCCACCGCGAAATTGTTGTGTTCTAGACGCCCGAAAATAACATTTGAGGCGTTCTGGGCTATCATTTTTTTCTTTTTCTTTCTTTTTTCTTTTAAAGGGGGGGGGGGGCCCGGGCCCCCCTCCCCCCTAAATCCGCCCCTGATTAAATCCTGACTCTATAATCCTGGCTAAGATAACCAACAATTTCTTTTACTGTATCCTGTAACACATTGCAACCGAACAAGCAATTCAGAACATGAAGGGTCCCACCCAAACCACAACCCTTTCTTGTTCTTGTATTTCCACTCTGGCACCCCTCACTTGCTTTGCACTATTCTGTAATTCTGCTCTAGCCTAACTAGGCCTACCTAGGCTTACATTATTCAGGGGCGGATCCAGAAATGTCCAAAAGGGGGGGCCGGAAGGGGGGCCGAAAGTTGGGCCGATTGAGACAACATTGTCGTAGGGGGCCCGGGGGCATGCCCCCGCGAAATTTTTGTGTTCTAGACGCCCGAACATAACATTTGAGGCATTCTTGGCCATCATTTTTTTCTTTTTCTCTCTTTTTTTTCTTTTTTTTTTCTTTTTTTACCTCCCAAAAGGGGGGGCCGGGGCCGGGCCGGCCCCTCCCTAAATCCGCCCCTGTTATTAAAACACTGAACAGTGAAATGGCTCTCAAATTCTGGTATTTAAAGTTTGTATCATATAAAAATAAAAATAGGCCTAAGTAGTGTTTAATTTAAAATATCCTGCTGGATCCGGCCTAACTAGACTCAGTATAGGATTAAGATACTAGCCTAGGCCTAGGTTCCATAAGTACTATGCCTAGACCTAGTCTAGATTTTAGGCGATTAAAATTAAATGAAGGTTAAGCATAGCCTAACCTAGGTCTAGGCTAGGCCAGGCTGCTTTACCTAGACTACACAGGTAGGTAGCAGTGACGAAAGTGTAGTCAGCGAATCGGAAGTTCAAGTCTGGGTGGGAGAGACACTCTTTCTCTCTCGTTGACTGGTGAGGCTGGGAATTCGTAATCGTACCAAGTTGGAAAACAAATAAATATGCCTACACTGTTGCCATATCGATCTGCAGACAAAGCCACACATTTCAAAAAACTTACCTATACCTTAAAAGTTCTCTTCTTTGCAGGGGCAACGCACAACTTCGTGTTTCCTACCTCCCGCCAGCTTCGGTTGTCTAAAAAAAATATAGTAGTCGAGTGTCGAGCGTGAGAGAAATTTGCTATAAAAAAAAAAAAAAAATTAGATTCAAGAGGGCGCACTACCGCCATGCCTTATCATCATCAAAGATGGTTAAGCGGCGCTATACGATCTTTGTTTTAGCCCCCGCATGACGCGTCACGTGGCACACACCGCGCGGCGTCGGGTCGACACGTTCTTTGAATCCAGTCGATTGATCTACGATGTCGAATTACCAGAAAAATAACCAAAATCAACCACCTTATGTGGCTGTTGAAACCAGGTAATATAGGTCAGGTGCCTTCATATTAGCTAGGCCCATATACTACACTAGCCTAGGCCTATAATTTCATAAATAAATACGCCGCTCTACTGTAAAACAGAGGCTTGCCACACCAGGAAGTAGAGTGAGTGAGCCAGCACTGCAGCAGCAAGTGCATGCGGATTGCCCAGGCTACGCCCACTACTACTACCCCTAGGCTTGTATTACTACTAGGGCTAGGCTACCACCGATATAAATCACAGGCTTATTTCTGACGATCGGGTCCACCTATTGTGGACTGGAGTATGAAGCCCACTTTTATTCTAAATTGATTTAACATTTAGGCCAAGTAACAAACATTACTTGTTTCCCGTCCCCGCGCGCGTCGATTTTTTGGGGATATGACCGGTTGAGCCGCCGGTAATTTCTATAGAACGCCAAGCGCGTCTTTCAGTGAATGTAGTGCGTCTCTCAGTGAATGTAGTCGGCTTGCCGATGTCATCAGTGAATGAACCCCCTGGATACCAGCTACATATTCATTCATTCTCAGTCTTGTCAGTCGTTGATTTGCTCGTATTGCCGTTCGTGATGTATAAT